GTTCATACCCATTAATTCAGATACTCTCCCAAGTGCCTGGAATATACTAGACTGCCAGACAAAGTTTGATGAACGAAGTAGATCGAGGCAGAGGAGAAAAGGGGAGAGATTTAATCAGAAAGGAAAGGAAGGTCTTGAAAATATCTTGGAGGTTTTCATCTTGGATTCCTCATCGGATGAATTTGTTGGCCAACATGGAGCACTCAGGAAGAACTGTAGAAAGCGAGGCCGGGTCTAGTGTTTGTTGAGTTTTATAGATCTGTGACAGCAACCAGCACCCTCTCTTTCTGATAGTGGAGCTAACTCTGCCCAGAGGCTGTGCGCCTCCCCACAGGAGTGAGCGCCAGCCCACTGGCATTGAGGTTATGTGGAAATTCTTCGTGAATTACATTAGGGACAGAAGATTAGTCTGGTAAAGCACTTTTCAAATTTGTGATTTTGTTCAAGTGTTTAAATTTACAGACATGTCAAAACTAGGTTACAGTGATATGCGTTGAGGTTAAAATCACATGAAATCAAACAGCCTGAGAAAATTCACAATGTATGGGGAACTTCTTTTAATGTTCTACTACAATTATTTCCTTCACATTTCTTGGTTTGGGAGTGAGAGAAAGGTATCTTGTGATGTGTTCCTCACTTTTGAGAACTTATTCAGAACTACAAGCTTTCGAATCTTTGTTGAAACAATGTTGCAATGTTTGTAGTTTTTTAAGAAGTTATTTTCCCCAAAACCAAAAATTATAGTGTTTAGAATATTCATCCAGCCTATAAAAAACCGTTTAACTGGTTAAAAAAACACATTATACTAATTACCAATAACGCTAGCTGGGAAACTCTAAATTGTAGGTCAAAGAGACCCTGGGGAAATTTTGAAGCAGTAAAAGTTTGCATGTAGGACGCATTCCCCTATCTTTCTCTGATCACTTCCCATTTCCGCAAAGCCTCAGAACCACTCAGGCCTGTCTCCTAAAGGGCTTCGGTCAACAGAATGTTCTAAAGCATTCCTCTCCTCTCTTTTCCTTTTCCAAGTCCCCCACCCGGTGCAGCTGGTCTAGGCTGGAGGCAGGAGAGAAGCTGAATGAGCTGGCTCACAGCAGTGGGTGGAGAATAAGTGCCTGGCAGCCCCTTTACCCTCCAAATGTGCGCCTGCCGCTTTTAAAAGGGGCTGCCGATACATACACACGTACATAAAAAGAGGCTGCCTTATAGTCCAAAGGAATCCAGGCGGCGGCCTCTTCAGGCGCCTCCGTGAAGAGCAGGCGCCGGAAAGGGCCAGCGAGTGAGATGAAGCCAAGGGCAGACCAGCCAGTGTTCCATCCCGGGGCCTGCTTCCAGGAGAGATTCTCGAAGTGGTTCTTGCTTTTCAGAAGTTCTTATCTTCACATCGGAACCCACAAAATCTCAAAAATAAATAAATAAATAAGGGACCTTTGCCCCAGCAGCCCCAGCAGTAGAGAGGGCAAGGCAGACCAGCCTCCCCAGGCTGATGCTTTGGGGTCTGGACTGTGTCTCTGAGGACCAGCCCCCCATCCCCCCCGCCACCCGGGCTCAGGCCCTAGGGGACCGTCCTACGGAGAGGTTGGCCTTCCTTTCTTCCCACTATCCTCGCCTGCACCCAACCATTCTGTAACTTCTCAGGGATTCTTCCTTGTCGTACCACTTCATTTATTTTCTCAGGGTTTCATCATTCACAGTGCCAGTAACGCTTAACCTTCAGCCCTTCTCACAGTGGTCGCTCCTTCACCCTGTAAATGGTTCAGCCCCTCACGTGCCTCACCTTTCCTCAAAGTGAGGTCCGATTGCTTTCCCTTTAAAGATGTATCATAATATAATGAATAATACTTTCATCTTAAATTATCAGATACCATCACTTTAAAAGAGTTGGAAGTGAAATTGCTTTCCTAGTGTTGATGGTGAATCGGCAACTGGTGTTAGACCAGAGGAGTGAGACCCGAACTAGGTTCAGCAACCGCAGTTTTTTAAAAAATATTATGTATTTATTTATTTATTCATTTTTAGGGAGAAGGGGAGGGAGGCAGTTACCTTCAAAGGGCCAAGTGTAATTTTAGGACTGTACACTTGTAACTTCTCCTTAACTAGGGGCAAGGAGCTCAGTGCTGTCGCTGGGTAGAAACAAGGTGCCGGGCTGATACAACAAGGTGGAGGGCCGGATCTGGCCTCGGGCCTTGTGTTTGCCACCTGTGACTTAGGAAATTCCAAGGGTTTTAGGAGCTCTGTGGCAGAAATGGGGCAAAAACAAAGTACAATATACATATTTTTTATTATAAACCACTAAATGTATGTGTGTGTGTTATAATGTAAATGTTTTTCCTGTGGGTATTTGAAAGCCATTACACTAAAACACAACTAACCTGAGTAAACCTTAGCAAAACCTTACATAGACACACTTCATTTTATTGTGCTTCACAGATGTTCTGTTTTTTTTAAAAAGTTTGAAGGCAAGACACTTCACCAGCAAAAAGGCTGTGACTTGCTTTATTGTGATACTTGCTGTATTGCTGTGGTCTGGAACCAAACCTGCAATATCTCCGAGGTATGCCTGTAATTAACCACTTCACTGCAGGTTGTTATTAAAGCAGCCCTCGGGTCTGCCGTGGATTCTTCCCGCGGCGTCTCGGTCACACCTGTGGTACAATCCATCAAATGATTGGCAGAGGACGCCCCCCTACCCTGACAGCAACTGTCTGATGTGTGGCCACAGGAACATAGGTTGCCACAACCAGTCCGTGCCCAGGCACTTCAGGAAGTCCAGGAGGGCATCCCACGCATGACAAAGTCTGTGAGTTAGAGGAGTGTCATCGTTCAGTGTAAAAGATGACAAAGTCCACACCTGCACCTTGAGTCATCATTATTTTTCCGTCACTAGGTTGTCATGAAATAAGAGCTTCTACAATCCACCACAGTGACAAGAGATCAATAGAGCTGGAAAGAGCACAACTCACTTTGTCAGCAGTAGCAAGTTCCACAGTGAGAGGGAGTCTCGTTAATAACAGTGGCTAATCTGTATGACCCTGTATTTAGAATCCAAAGATGGATAAGACTGGGGTTCAAAGTCCACGGGGGCTTAGGGGACAATAATGTCACAGAGGAGGAACTGGAAAAGGATGCACTGTAACATTAACTGCTGTAGTAATTGGTTCAACATTATCTAGAACATGTGAACAAAGAGCTGTCTTTGTAGTGTGGTGAAAATAACTAGATTGGTTGGAATCCAGGGACTGGCATTTACTTCTGCATATTAACTCAAATAAAAAAGATATTCTATCCCTGGCCGTGTGGCTCCATTGGTTAGAGCATCATTCCATGCACCAAAAGGTTGCTGGTTCAATTCCTGATCAGGGCACATGCCTAAGTTGAGGGTTTGATCTCTGGTTGGTGCATACAGGATGCACCAATGTTTCTCTCTCACATCAATGTTTCTCTCTCTCTCTCAAAATCAACGGAAACATGTCCCCAAGTGAGAATGAAATTTTATATATACATATATACACACATATATTTCATATACATATGAAATATACATATTATATAATGTCTCTGCTCAAATATATGTAATAGAGGTAACTAAAAATTCAGATTCTGAAATGATATCTTATTTTAAAAGAAAAAAATAAACTTGGAATGTTGGAATGTAAGATTCCCCTTGTATTTTAGAGCTGAATTAGCAAAGTTAGTGTCCCAAATACTCTTTTATCTGTTAGCTTGCATTCTGGAAATGATACCAGATTCAGGAAGACATCTATGAAAAGGACAAGAAGAACCATGATTTTCTTTTGGCCAATGAACATTTTTTTAATTGCTATCCCTGTGGCTGGCATTATGGATAATAAAGAAACTTCACCTTGACTGCTTTTGGGAGAGGACTGTCTTCTCATGCTGTCAATAGACAGAGAAGCATCCCATTCTCACCTGTTTTGCAAGACTTTCCCATCAGCTCCGCAGTCTGGGGAAAGCTCATTCTTCAACTTCCAGCTCTAATTTACAAGATCTTTATGTTTATTTATTCAATTTTCCTTAATAATACTTTTGCAAGAGGGCCCTTTCTAAATCTATCCTCCCTTTTGTGAGAATGTAAAATAACTCATTTAAACAGAACCTGGAAAGCTGGAAGAACTCAAATCCTGGCTAGTTATCTACTTGTTCATTATTTTAATACTTTTATCATACTCTTTTTGCTATCAATGTTATACAAATTCACTTTCTTGTTAAAATGATATTTTCTTGAGAGCAAACTGAGAAGGTGTCTTGCCTCCTTTTGAGAATTAACTCTCTAGTATTGTTCTGAAAAAGAGCCACTGTAGTAGAGAGTGGCAAGGGGTCCATGTTCAAAGGGAGGAAATCAAGGCAGAGAGGATCAGGGAGCATGGTCAAGGTCTCAGAGCTGGCATGTCCCGGACCAGGGCTTCAGACCACCAGCTGGCTCCGAGCCTGAACTGGTGGCCACTTTGCACTTCCTAAGGAACCAGCTGCTCTAGGAAGTATTGTGACACAACAGACAGAGGATGATAAGCCTGTGAAAGCAGACACCAGACTTACGTCATCTCTGCCTCTAGCCTCAGGCAGGAAGCAACTTCTCCAGACCTCGATTTCTACGCTGAAGAGGAAAAAAAAAGTGGATATTTTGTCAAATGATCTCTTTATCTTTTAGCTCACATTCTGAATCTCTCTTGTGAATCATCAGGAAAGAGGGAGGAGAACAATGTTAATAGTCCATCATTAGGCAAAGAGAATACCCATTTTTTGCTGCTCCTAAAGGAAGCTGGGAGGGCCAGCAGTAACAGATCCACAGAGTGGTTGGGGAAAACCCAGGGAGGAAAAAAATTGAGAAATTGGATAACTGCAGCTCAACTGGAAAATTAAAAACAAACAAACAAACAAACAAACAATACCAAACAAAGAAATTTTGGGGAAAGAAGATAGATTTAGAGCCCCCCGCACAAATAAAATAGGCTGTCTTACCACAATTTCTTTCACTTCAGAATGAAGAAATACTTGAAGGCAGTCACGATGGGGAGAAGCCTGTGCTGGAGCAGCTCGACTGTCCTGAAAATCTTTCCCCCAGCAGGTGAGGTTGCAGATTCCTTTGCAGAACTCATTTTAACTCCTTGTGGTGGCGGGGGGCGGGGGTTTAGAGTATCCTTTGCTTTAAATCTCATCACCTGTCTTGCCCAGATAAAATCACATATTTATTATATATACTCAATGTTCATTTATATACCTGAGAACAAAACTCATGGATCTCGTAAAGGCAACAAGCAAGAACTGAAAATGACCTCTTATAAACCAAGTTTCCAAAGACACCCAGTGTTTAAAAAAATGAATTATCAAGAAAAAAGAAAATGTAAACTATTGTTGATGTTAATTGAATTGTTGGTTTAAAAGCATTTAAAGGCAATAGGTTCCCAGAAGACCCAGTTCATACAAATTTAATACTATTTTCGGCCTACAGGAAGGTGTTTACAATGCATGTGAATGCCCTGCAGTTCAGTGGTAAAGACCAAAAGCAGAAGAGAAAAACTCATTTAAAATAAAACTGCTCCATATTTAGAACCCCCATCACATCATTCACACTCACACCGTTTGACTTACTGACGTAGGAGTCATTTTAACCCCGGGGTCTATCATGCTCAGCTCTTTGCAGGCCTCTAAAAAAATGCCTGTTCCATCAATGAATAAAAACACCTTCAGGAACTTGCTCCTTCATGAAAGCCAATGTCACTTTAATTACACTACTTTATAGTCTTTCACTTTAAGGTGTCAAGAAGCATGTAGACCCTTATTGAGTGTAATGTGTCTTTGAGCTATCATAAATGGCCAAATGCAGCATATCTGAAAGTGTGTTTAGTTGGGTTGTCTCTGAAAAGCAGTGCTTGGCAAGGTGTTCTGTTGTTTTTCTCGAGTTGCTGGTTTATCTTTTGGGACTTTTCTGTTACTGCAACCCAACCTATTTTTATCATTGTAATTTTACTTTTGGAATTACAAGTCTTTTACTAGTCTTATCATCATAAAAGTCTTGGTTAAATGGTCCTTTAAGTTAGTTGGTGAATTATTACATGAATTCACAGATCATTAAATCATATTTCTAATGAGAGATACAAAGGAAAAGTTACGGTATTTAATGAAACAAAAATACCTTTATGATTCTTGCAAAAGAATGTCGAGAAAAGGCAAAAGTAGCTAGTGGACTAAGGCAAAGATGGTGTTGCCGGTGGAAGTGGGGTCCTCGTGGTGTTGCCAGAAAAGCACTTTGCCCAACCCACAAGGGAACATGAGGTCTGGTGGTTAAGATTTATTTAGGTGAAAATAGAAGGCTGCCCCGGGGTTCCCAAATCTTATCTATGCCTGTCATGCTCTGAAAGAAGTCCAATCTTGCCTTCATCAGGCCCAGAAACAGGACCAGTGTGCACATACTTTGTGCCATTGATTCAGTCCACATCCCTGTCCCAATCCTGCTAGCTTAGTCTGTTCCCAGCCCGAGACGCAGGATTCGGGAACCAATGAATGGGAGGAACACGCGTTATGGGGGGTGCGGGAGGGTGGGGGGAGGGGAGAGAGAGGAAGAAGGGCCTTTGTTTTCTTTACGCTCAGGTTATATCATCTTGGGCTTGGGAAGGACCAGGCACTTCTTTAAACTAACCAATCAACTCCCCAAGCTTTCATGGGCTCACTGGCCTTACCCACTAACCAATCTGTTTTCCCAGATCTTCATTCAAGGTTCTCTTTCTTTTATCCGGTTCAATCCTTTTCTCAAGCTAGACAGGCAGGCCTCTATGATTGCCGTTTTAGTTCCTGCTCTGCGAGCCTCATAGAGGCACCTCCCCGGGGGCCACTGACTAGCAGTGCGCATGTGCTCACGACCCCTGACTGCCAACACCTCGGTAACACGACCACCCGACAACCCGACCACCCCTCCGACAATGTGGCGGGCTGTTGCCTACATAGGGGAGAAGAGAGGTGTTCATCCTCTTGGTGGGCAATGCTGCTATTCCCCTGGAGTGTGTGAAGCTGTAGCTCTCTGGTTAAGCAGGATATGCTCCTTAGTTGACTATGCTTAACATTGCTTCCTTCCTTTCTTTATTAATATCTAGCTACCTATGCTAATAATAGACTTTATAAGACTACTGTTTTTGTTCTACCACCAGCTTTGAATACCTTAAAATCACTAATCTTTGCTGAAACAGTTTATATTTCTTTATTCACTTTTGATTTTAAATATTTGAGTTTTAATGCATAATACAAATAATTCGAGGTTAGAGTTGGTAAATACAATATGCATGGCATATGGTAAGCATTCAGATTTTCTCAAATAAATTATAAACTTTCAAGTAATATAGGTAAAATATTATATTAGATGGTGCCCATTAGGGCTGTTTTTTCCTTTTTATTGAATTTATTGGGGTGACACTGGGTAAGAAAATTATACAGATTTCAGGTGCACAGTTCCACGACACATCATCTGTACACTGTATTGTGTGTTCACCACCCCAAGCCCAGTCTCTAGAGCTCAACACTGATCTCCCATAATCCCACCTCCACTATGCCGAACCCCTCCCTCTGTCGATCACCACACTATTGTCCATGACAAAAAAAGCTTGGAAATCTTCTGTCTTCCTGAAACTTTTGGCATAGTTTGAGAAGGATAAATGTTATTTCTTCTTTGAATGTTTGCTAACATTCACCTGTTAAGGCCACCTGCCTAGGACTTTTGTTTGTAGGAAGTTTTTTTATTACTGCTTCAGTTTCACTAGCTGTAACCTGTCTATTCAGATTCTCTGATTCTTCCTGATTCGGTTTTGGAAAATTGTATGTTTCTAGGAATTTATCCAGTTCATCTAAGATTGTTCTCTTTTTTTTGCATATTGTTGTATATAATATTTTCTTCTCCCCTTTCTTCTCTGATTTTATTTATTTAGGTCCTCTCTCTTTTTTTCTTGATGAGTCTACTTAAAGGTTTGTCAATCTTGTTTATCTTTTCACTCTTGGTTTTATCAATCTTTTGTATTGTTTTTTAGATTCTATTTCATTGATTTGTGTTCTAATCTTTATTATATTCTTCCTTCTACTCACTGTGCACTTTGTTTCTTGTTCTTTTTCAAGTTCCTTTATGTGCAAGTTTAGGTTGTTTATTTGATATTTTTCTTGTTTCTTGAGGTAGGTGAGTAATGCTATGAATTTCTCCTAGGACTGCTTTCCCCATGTCCTAAAGATTTTCGGTTGTTGTGTTCTCATTTTCATTTGTTTTTATGTATCTTTCGATTTCTTCCTTGCTCTAGTTGTTAACCCATTCATTGTTTAGTAACATATGATGTAGCCTCCATGTCTTTTGTGTTTTTTACTTTTTTTCTTGTGGTTGATTTTGAGTTTCATATTTCTGTGGTTAGAGAAGATGGTTGATATGATATCAATTTTCTTAAATTTATTGAGAATTGTTTTGTGTCCTAACATGTGGTCTATCCTAGAAAATGTTCCATGTGCACTTGAAAAGATTGTATATTTTGCAGCTTTGGAGTGAAATGCTCTGAAGATATCAATTAAATCCATCTGATCCCATGTGTCATTTAAGGCCACCCTTTCCTTGCTGATTTTCTGTCTGGAAGACCTATCCTTTGATTTCAAAAAGGTGTTAAAGCGCCTACTATGACTGTATTTCTGTCAGCCTCTTCATGTCCATCAAGATTTGCTTTACATATTTAGGTGCTCCTATGCTGGATTCATAAATGGTTACAAGGGTTATATCCTCTTACTGGAATGCTCCCTTTTTATTACGTAGTGTCCTTCTTTATCTCTTAACAGACCCTTTGTTTTAAAGTCTGTTTAGTCATATGTAAGTATTGCTACCCCAGCTTTTTCCTTCTTTCTACTTATATGAAATATATTTTTTCATCTCTTTACTTTAGTTTGTGTGTGTCTTTCATTCTGAGCTGAGTCTTTTGTAGACAGCACATATATGGCTCTTGTTTTCTTACCCATTCAACCACCATTTGGCTTTTGATTAGAGCATTTAAACCATTTACATTTAAAATGATTATTGATAGGTATGTATTTAATGCCATTTTATTCTTCTAACTATGTCCCTCTGTTTTTTTTTCTTCTCCTTCTTCTTGACCCTTCAACATTTCTTATAATACTTGTTTGTTGGTAAGAAACTACCTTTTTCATATCTAGGAAGCTCTTTAGTTCTTCGTCAATTTTAAATGATAGCCCTAGTGGGTAAAGGGGTATTGGTTGTAGGTCCTTGCTTTTCATCACTTTGAATATTTCATGCCAGTCCCTCTGGCCTGAACTGTTTTTTGTTGAGATATCAGCTGACAGTCTTGTGAGACCTCCCATGTAGGGCACTGTCTTTCTCTTACGGTTTTTAAGATTCTTTGTCCTTAATCTTTGACATTTTAATTATAATGTGTCTAGGTGTGGGTGTCCTTGGCTTCATTTTGTTTAGGATTTTCTGCACATCCTGGACTTGTGTGTCTTTTTCCTTTACCAGTATAGGGAAGTTTGGGTCATTATTTCTTCAAATAAGTCCTTGATCCTTGTTTCTCTCTCCTCTTCTGGTACCCCTATGATGCTGATATTGTTGTGCTTCCTGTCGTCCCAAAGTTCCCTCAAACTATTCTTACTTTTTTAAATCCGTTTTTCTTTTTTGCTGCTCTGATTGGGTGTTTCTTTCTACCTTGTCTCCCAAATCACTGATTCAATCCTCTGCTTAATCCAACCTATTGTTTATTCCTTCATGTATTCTTTTCAGATACTGTATTTTCCATTTCTAACTATTCCTTTTTTATGGCTTCTATGTCCCTTTTCATATTGCTGAGCATCCTTATAATTATTACTTTGAACTCTATACCTGATAAATAGCCTTCCTCTATTTCATTTAGCTCTTTTTCTAATGTATTTTCCTCTTTTCTTTTTCATTTGGTAACTCTTTCTTTGCTTTCTGTTTAGGCCGCCTCTTTGTGTTCGTTGCTATGTAACAGGGAGATCTGCTATGACTCCCCATCTTGGTAGGGTGGACTTATGTAGTAGATGTCCTGTGGGGTTCCGTGGGGCAGTCTCCCTCATCATCCT